CCTCACTCCTCCTTTGTCTGGCCCAGACTGGGTTACTTCTGCAGACAACTGTTTTCATCCATTATATACTGATACTTTATCATTTTACTTCCAAAGGACAATCTTATTCTCAAATTCTAGGGGTCTAACATCTCCTGCTTACACTCTGGCTGTAGATTTAAGACTGGTAATATGGCATCACTGGCTTAGTTCCACTGTGTTTCTATCCCAGATTCTGTCTCTGATAATCACGATCCCAAGGGTGATGGTTTGGGCCCTTGATCATCAGTGTCAAATGTTGATGGAAGCCCCAAATGCCAGGTTTGTTTTAGTCCTTTGTTAGAACTCTGCCAGATACAAATATGCCTAAACACTGCACCTCATGGGGTAGCAAATATTAAAATTTGGCAGCTTTTCCATGAAATTTGTTTAAGAAAGGACTCATGGAAACTGGCAAAGGAAATTCGAGATGCTGGCATGAGGGAATCAGAGCGACTCCTCGATGATGGCCAAATGCAGGCTCACGTTTACCTCCTCTCTTCTCGTTAATCTGCGTGAGGCCGAGAACTTGATCCACGTTCTACCTCATGAAATTCCTCACCAGTCCCAGAGTCCAGGAGAGGAGCATACTTCCCAAGACTCGCTTCCTTCTTCCTCTGTGTCTACCTTACATATTATCAATATTTAGCCGTTTAGGAAAAATCCAGACAGTTGATTTTCTTTTTTTTTCCTGCCGTCTCTCCTGTCTCTTCCTTTACTTTCAGAGTCTAGTGACACCAACGTTGTTTTTCCCACCTCAGATCACTGCATTAGGGTTCCAGGGAACGTGTGTTGAGAAACACAGGTTGGTACAGGTTGAACCTGGTATACGGTGTGTGGATACAAGAAAGATAAATATTTCTCCTTTCACAAGACAGTAAATGAGCTTACCTTTTGATGAAGCCCAATCAAGATTCTCCATTACACCAACTTATGGTCCAAAATCTAGAATATAACAAGCTCATAAGACTTTAAATGAACATTTCTATATCACTGAGAGCAAATATTCCCAAGACCAGCAAAACTTGTACACATCTGTACCCTTGTTTTGGGTCAACATTTTATGACACGTTTTCCGAAAAGCACCCTGGTAAAAGAAGCATGTGAGATGGAAGCATCTAGATGCTCTGGGAAAGTTGTCAAGTTTGTTTACGTGTCCAAGATCCTGCGCTTCGGTGTTTTTTTTGCGGGAAGAAGGCGGCCTCATGTCACAGGTAGTAGAAAAGATACTTGGTCTTGAGAAAAACGAAAAAAAAAAAAATCAAATGTTCTTAGATAATCTTGATAGCAATTGCTTCACATTGGAATGTCACCAAATCAGAAAAGCCAGACTCAGAAGGAAGGCTGCCCATTACGGGAAAAGTGGGCAGAGGGCAACCCAGGCGCGTGCCCGTTGTCACGGACTCCCGTTAGTGATGTGCGTGTCTAACGTATCTTCTCTCCCCTCACTCATCTCTCCCACTTTTTTCTTTCCTGTCATGCAGTGCATCATCCAAGGACTCCTCTCAAAGCAAAATCATCCGCTTCACTCTGGGTCAGAAAAAGATCTCTAGGTTAGACTTTCTCTGTGTCCTGCAAAGCATGGTTTCAACCCAGCTCATTGATCGCTTTGTTCTGGCTAAGTTTCCTTTTGGTCCCTCTGCCCGTTTCATGTTTGCAGTTTGAGAAAACCAAACATGCTTTGGCTAATGACCCAATGTGGGAGAATTTGGAGAGTGCCTGTGGGGTCATTGAAAGGGGGAATGTGTGTGTCAGAGTGTGTGTGGCTGGCGTTAAGGTGTATATAAATGTTTCAAATCAATGCATTTCATTGATTTGGGCTTTCATTGCTTCGTATCAAAATCCTTTCTGATTTAGGGAGAGGTAAGTTTCTAGGTGGTTTTTGTGGTGGTTTTATGATGAGTTTGGCTCCCTGCTCTGGCCTGGCCCTGATCCCACGTCATCTGCACCTCCTTTATGTGTGTTGTGCTTTTTATCGTTGCTGTTCTTGCTAAAATTACTAATGCGGGTTTGGTTTCTCTTGAGTTCTAAAGCACCCAAAGCATGAATCCAATTGGTCGGAGGAGACAAAGCAGCAAGGTGGCTGTGTCTCCTTTTCGTTTCCGGATGCTCTTTGTACCTCGGAGAGATTGCCTCAGTTACCTAAAAATAAAAGTTAGTCTTGCTCACTAACTAATTCTCCTGACACAGAGTTTGACATTTACTGCATACTGTAAGGACCGATTCCAGGATATGGAAAATGCCAGTCACATCTTTGGCATCTACTCTTCTTTTAAAGGCAGCAAGAGCTGACATTTATTGAATGCTTGTTATGCATCAGCTTGAATGCCTTATCTTATTTAATCCTCACTTTAGTTTTCATGCGGCCACTAGTTATTATCCCCATTTTACAGATAAGAAAACTAAAGTCTAGGAAGTTAGTTAAGTTACTCAAGATGATACAGAAAGTGGAAAAGCCAGGATTTGAGCCCAGTTGACCTAACTCCAGAACCCTCACTTTAACCACTGTGTTTACACTCTTTCTCTCTCCCTCCCCCTTGAATTCTGGTATTTATGGGGTTGTCAAGGCTGCTTTTAAAAAAATCTTACGTTTCAGCTGTTACTCTTGACCTTTTGCCTCACTTTGTCCTTTGTAGCATCCTAATAGAACCTGATGCTGGTTCATGATTTTCATTGAATTCTCATTTAAAGCTAAAGGGATATCCACACTACACTTTTTTTCAATGTTTATATTTGAGAGAGACAGAGTGCAAGTGGGGGAGGGACAGGGAGAGAGGGAGACACAGAATCCTAAGCAGGCTCCAGGCTCTGAGCTGTCGGCACAGAGCCCGACGCGGGGCTCGGACCCACAGACCTCGAGATCGTGACCTGAGCTGAAGTTGGACGCTCAACCGACTGAGCCACCAGGCGCCCCCACGCCACACTACATTTCTATCTGTATTCGTGTAACAAATACATACTGAATGTCTGCTTGCTGCCCCACTCTGTCAAGTTCTCAGTGCCTTTTTCTAGCCAGAGTTTACTTTTTCTTTTCTAAAAAGTTATACATAGGGAGACCCAACTCAGGATCTGCCTGGCTGTTGGGGAGAAGCCACGGGGCCATTGCTTCTCTGTAGAACAAGTGCATATGTTACCCAGACTTGGTTCTGGGAGACAAGAGGGAACCGACGTTCATCAGTGCTTTTCATAATCATGTGCCTTTGTCAGTTTGGGCTGCTACAACAAATCACCATAAACTGGCTGACTTAAACTGTTTCCCTTATAGTTCTGGAGGCTAGGAAGTCCAAGATCAGGGTGCCCGCACAGTCAGATTGTAATGAGGGCCCTGTTCCTGGTTTCTAGATGGCCATGTTCTTGCTGTGTCCTCACACGGAGAGCAGAGAGAGAGGAAGAAAGCCCTCTCCATTCTCTTCTTACAAGGCCCATCATGAGGTCTTCAGCCACATGAAGTCCCTCCCATAAGCCCCATTTCCAGATACCATCACGTGGGGATTAGGGTGAGGACACCTGAATTTGGCCAGGGTGGGGCTGGAGGACTTAAACGTGCAGTTCATGACTCCATGCTAGAGTGCCTGCTTTCCCTGAAAAATCACACCAGGCCACCCTCAGACACCCCCTGCACTGGCAAACTGGGTTCCCAGTTTTTGAGCATCAACCTAAATAGAGACGTAAACTGAGGTGAGCTCAAATTACCAAACTCAAATCGAGTTTATTTGGGAATAGCAGAGGAATTGCAGTTTGGGAAATGCAGCCATAGCAAGAAACAGGTGAGTCTGTTGAGGGTTCGGGGTGTGCTGTATTGATGGGCCTGGAGTGCAAGAAGGGGAGATCTAGCCAGAGTCCAAGTGGTAAGTTCATTGGCTTGAGGATAGAGAGGGATTCTAGGCAGACGTTCATTGGTCAGGAGATAGGTTTCTGTCTTCTGTAAGTCAGGCGTTTATGGGAAATGCGATTTGCAGTTTTTAAACTTGGGTCTTCTGAGGGCACCTGTGTGGGATTCTCCATTTCCCATTCTCCAGTTCCGTTGCAAATTGAAATCCTTTCACAGATAAAAGGAAAGGAAGTTAAGTGAGCTTGGAGGGAACCTGAAGTCTGGTGTTTGTTCCCACGATGTACTCAGTTCTAGAAGATAAGCAGGAGCTGGCTGGGAAAATATTTAATTGGAAGCACATGCCCATCCCGAGTGTGAGTGGTTATCAGTCCCAGATGATGGAAGGAGGCAGTGGGAAGAGCGGAAGAACCGAAGGAAGAGGCCGTGTCTGCCCCTGACCCCAGGGTGTGCTGGGCACAGGGCTTCCAAGTTGACTGAAAGCCAAGGTCTGGCTTTCTTTCAGGGTCACATCCCTCACCTAGAGTTTCTTTTGGATGCATCTTTGTCTCTGATGAGGCCAGTGAAAGGATGTTCTTTCATTATTTGCCTAATACTCCTCCTTGCCTTCCCTAACCCCCCTCCATTTCCCATCCCCAGCCTTGAGCACAATTCTGATAAGCGTTTTAGCTGATCCGGGCATCACCAAACGTAGCTGCAAAATTAGTTGTCAAAAGAAACCACCTTACCCCTGCTGGCTAAGCAAGACAACTCTCCCAGAGCTTTGGAAATAGAGTTCAAGTGCAAACTTTGAACACCTGCCAGAGTCAAACACCTTGGATAAGTACCAGGGATATTGAACAGGGTAGGAAGCCTCTCCATTGAATCTGGATGCTAATAGAGGGAATCCATACAGGGATGAAGGATTTTCATGAATTTCTGCCTTCGACTACAATTATCGTCCTTTGGCAACCCTGGTGAGCCCTGGGTTTGTAGATGTGTTCTGTCTGTGGAGGTAGAGAGGTACGTGGCTGGGAGTGCAGCTAGTCAAACCTAGTGAAAGCCCATCTTCATCACTTACCACGTATCCTGGGCAAATTCTTTATTCTCCAGGAGCCTGTGTTTGCTTACCAGCAAAACGGGGTAGTGCTGCCTCACTCATGATACATGGGTTAAATGAAGTCATTTCCAGTCCTTTGATAGATATCTGGTCTATACACTATAACTAGCAGATACAGTGAGGTTGGTGTTTGGGGTTGATCTGGGCCAGGGAGGGCCACCAGACCACCTGTCTCCAGCAAAACCCCACAGAGTTGATCACATGACCATCTCGTGGAGAGGAAGCAGTGGGACTGATACTTCTGTCCTCTTTGTCCAGCTGCTGAAAAGCAGAGGCCATGGAGATGAGAGATTCAACATTTAATAACCTCCTCTGGCAGAAAGCATCTCCCATCACAATGCCTGCCACCTGAGGTCCCAAGCATGTGCACACAAGCTGCCATTCCCCCTGGGAGGGCCATCTTCTCCCGGCCTTTGAAGTGGTTTTGCAGGGGAAAAACAGCTTTCCTCCCATCAGCACACACAGCGCGTGGAGCCGGGATGTACTCCGAGGTCATGTGCCGAGAATGACAATTTACCACCCTGCCTGCTCGGCTCTGCACATGTCGGAGAAATTGACCACGGCTTCAATAGCAGCAGGATTTCTCCTCTGCCTCTTTTTTATGCCACTTCCCTTAAACTTATTCTTTTGATACGACATGTGTATGTTTCAAAGAACCCATCTGTGTCCTCTGTCATTTCGTAACTACGTTTGGAACAGGGAATGGTCTTGAGAAGTGGAGTTGTGCTTGCACAGGAGCCTTGGAACTCTTCTGGCACCATAACTGATACAGGTTGACCTGATGTGCTCCCCTCTCCCTGCTTTTCTTCACTGAGGCAGGTACCTTGGGCAGCGTCTGTTTAATCCATGGCTGTTCCACATGAGCGAGACCCACCTCTTCTGCAGAGGATCCTAAAGTACAGACAGCAGCTGTTTCCAGGCTGGGACTTGATAGAAGTTCCTGTGATGCATCAGGATGTTAACAGTTATGAACTGGAGAACGTGAGCTGGAGAGCCTGAGGTCTGCGTTACCGTGAACTAGAAGATACTGCTCCCGGCCTCCCTAATTTATGACTCATTTGCTGGAGAGCAGGAAAAAGTCCAGATTCATACTGCAACATACAAGGGCCTCTCTATTCTGGCCCTGCCTGCTTCTCCAGCCTCCTTTCCTCCCAGTCTGTCCCCCCACTCCCCAGCACACACCAGACCCTCCTTCCTCTGCACTTTTTTTTATAGGCTTCCCTCTGCCGGAGACCTCTGCCTCTCTCCATGACTCCGTACCTTCTTGTTCTCCACTCACATTTCCATTCCACATGCCACCTTGCTCTGGGGTCACGTCTATCTGGAACCTTCCCTGACCATCCCACCAACCTCCAAGGTTATCATTTTCCTTCTTTGAATTACTTCCGACCTTTGCATATTCTTTTATCAATACATGGGTAATTTAGATGTTTTCTAGGATCAATCAGCCTTACCCTAAGATCTAGATGAGATCGAACTAGAACCCTGTCTTTGTCTGTTTGGGCTGCCAAATGAAATACCACAGACTCAGTGGCTGATACACAACAGAAATTTGTCACTCACATATCTGGAAGCTGGAAGTCCAAGATCAGGATGCCAGCCTTGCCAGGTTCTGGTGAGTGCTGACTTCCAGGTTGCAGACTGCTGACTTCTCCATCCCTACCTGGGGCCAGCCAGCATTCTGGACTGTCTTTTATAAGGTCATTAATTTCATTCATGAGGGCTCTGTGTAATGACCTGATCACCTCCCAAAGTCCCCCACGTCCTAACACCACCACACTAGACATTAGGATTTCAACATCTGAATGTGAAGGGGGGCATAAACATTCACACCGTGGAAAACTCTTCTTCAACCTGCAGAAAGTCATGCCCCAGTGATTGCTCATGTACCTTAGGTCCTCAAGGTCAGCATTGTCTTTGAAGTGAAACATTTGAAATCCTATACTTATAATTCAGCCTGAATCAATTTGGTAGATTGACTCACAATCAAAGAATATTTTGGTTCCCTCATGGGTGGATCCAAAGAAGCCTTTTTTCTTACTTCCTACCCACCACACATTCATGGCCTTTGTGTCTCAGGCAGACTTTGTTGAAAATTTCAGAGGGATGGAGGAGGCTTGCTTTGGAGCAAGCAACTACTCAAGCCCATTCACACCTCACATTGTAAAGCATTGTGTTGTCATAGACACCCACTGAAACTTGGAAGAAATTACTTGGTCTCCACCCTGTCTTCCCATTTGGTCAAGTTCAGGTTGCTGAGCTGACTACAGTGTAAAAGTGATGGGGGTAGAAGATGACATGAGTTGGCTTGAACTTTGTGGTGGCCCTTGCTAAGTATGTGCCAACCATTCTTTTCCTTGTCAGCTGCCCTCAAAGCCTTCAAGAAGTCCTTCTTGAAGTCCTAGAAAACTTGGTTCAACCCTGTAGCCGCTTGATGGCTATGCCACTCTCATCCAAGGTGTACCTCTAGGTCCTGACCCAGTGAAGGGAATCTGATGATGACGACCCAGGAGAGACCAGAACTAGCTTATTGATCTAAGACCAGGAATGTTTCACTGTGGGGAATGGGGCCTACAGATGGCTCGGAGATGCCCTAAGTAGAAGGTCTTAGTCATAGATCTTCCTCTTCTGGAATGTTCCTCCATAGAGCAGTTCCTCTTCTGGAATGTTTCTTAGGGAAATAAGTACCATCTGCCAAAGCCTGGCTTACCTCCTTGAAAATGTAGATCTCTGTCTTGTGTGTGTTGATTTTTATCTGCTTTCTTCTGATACTTTAATCTAGATCCATCAATTTCCTTCATTATTTTGTCTGATTCTTTTTTGTACCAAAGCGTGTTTCCTTTATGACAATGCCCAACTCATTTATAAGTTTATGCTCAACAGAGAGGATGAGAAGGGGAAACTAACATGAATTGAATACTCACAACAGGCCCGACATTAAGCCCCATTTCAAACGAACAACTATCCCATTGGCTAGTTTATTATTCCAAAGTTATCTGATCTGGAACATGAATCTTGGAGAAATTATAAGACTGGTCCAGTGTTCTATGTGTGGAAAAAGTCCTTATTTTATCCATTACTACATGCTGCCTCACAGAGGACCAGATTGCCTACCCAATTCAAGGTTGTACCCATCCCATCCTATGCTTTGGTCGATCTTATTTCCATAGAGGCCCTGGAGAGCCCTGAGTTGGGGCAGTGGGAGCTCTGCAGCAACTCCAAAAGGAAGCCTGTTTTCCCTTCTTGTTGCTTTTTGCTTACCTACTTCTTGCAAATCCCCTACTGAAGTAGAATGCTGTGGCCTATTACCCTGTACCACACAATACTATTGCTGTGACATCATCTCGAAAGAAGTCTATAATTCTTTCCCAGGCCTGTCTGTGGGCATTAAGGCTCTGCAGACTATAGCTGGGTTAAAGGAGTCCAGCCCAGAGGACCCCATGTCTGTATCTGCAGAAGCTCTGCCATTGGCTCTGAGTACTCAGCTAACACTGACCTGGAGGGCTCTCGGGATGCCATTTGTATTAAAGGCAGAACCAAGAGGTACCAAAATCCCCTTGCTGGGCCTCCTTGTTCAGTTGTGCTGGCCACATCTGGACCCAAATATAGATGCTGGCTTTATACCCCACTCTTTGCCTGTCTATGTGGGGTGAATCTTTTCTCCAAAACAAGATGGGGTAAAGGGCAAATCGTCCTAGTGCAGTGGAAAGTGCACTTCCCTCTGCCTCTTGTTAGGGGAGAGAACTCAGCCCCTTCCTTCCCTCCTAGCTCCCCATCAGGGAATTGGGCCACCTTCCTAACTGTATAAATTTTACAGTCTTCTCTCACCAGCTCATGTTCTCTGTTTATTCTACAACCATCTTTCTTGCTCAGCCAGCAAGAAAAAAGTTTAAAGTGATCGCCGGCTTATATCTAAAATGCTTCCAGACTGCAGACTTCTTGGGCGCTTACAGATTTGCAATGGGGAGAGAAAGTTGAAAGCTTTATGGGTTGAAAATTCAGACTTCTCACTAGATCTTTTGCTAGTCAGCGGAGGTTCCAGTGGCTTTTAAACAGCTAAGTGGGTTTTAGCTGAAAGATATAACTAAAGATTTCATTATTTGTTTCTTTTTCCGTTTTTAACGATTAGAAACAGCCTGCTTAGTACTCTCTGACCCAAAATTCTGAGGGAGTCTTACCCTTAACTCTTTGGGGAAGAGGCCGTAAGATCTGTAGACCTATTACAAAAATGTCCACTAACTTTATTTCCCAAACCACTCTAAATGAGGTACTTTACTTAAGGTGTATGTTTGTCCTTAAGTTAATAGATTCCTGCTTATTCTACAGAAAGAACGTATGATTTTTTTCTGTCTGCTGTGCAGAGAAGCTGGGCTTCAGCCTCTAAATAATACCTACAGGGACATGTTGTCAGGTGTTGAGGGAGAATGTATGTCTGAACACATGTTTTCATCCAGGCCGTAAGTTTTCTCGTTGCAGTTGTATTGGGTCCTGAGTGCTAACGGTTCTCTATTATAAATTACGTCATTTTCTTGATACTGCAACCCTGGATTATGACATTAATATGGACTATGGCCATATTAATACCTACTAGAAGAGATGCGCGAAGGTAAAAAGTTTAAAGTCTTAATAGGCCCTTAAGTTCCACACTTGATAGAATTAGAGTTGACATGGTTTGCCCTATTGAAAAATAAATTACTCATTCAAGAGAAAAAGGAAGATAAAGTTCATATTTTTTAATCAGCAAACATATTCATTTACTTTTCCTTCAGAATTTCTCTTTGCTCAAAGGAAAACTCATGTTTTGCTGTTGGACTTTGCTGGGGTCATTGGTAGCCTAGATGTTTGTGGTAGTTCCATTGAATTTTTTGACTGGCAAATCTCCACAGACCCAATGTCTTGAATGGTTTCCTCTACCTCCTGCATGGTTGCAGTTCCTTCTTCTGAGACACTGCTGTTCTCCTGAGACTGAATCCATTTTCCTGTTGCTTTTGCATTTTAGGCTTCCAGGTCCTACTGCAAGGGTATCCACTGCAGGCAGTGAAGCCAAAACACGTGGAGGGTCAGCCACTGCCAACAACCGACGCAGCCAGAGCTTTAACAACTATGACAAGTCCAAACCGGTCACCTCCCCACTTCCACCACCACTGCCAAGCAGCCACGAGAAAGGTAAGTCAACTTCTTGAGGGTCCTATCTGGCATTTTCCTGTATACAGATCTGGTTCCTTTGGGTGAGTTTGCTAGGGTTGGGAACAAGGTTGCACATAGCATGGGCCATAGGACATACTTGGCTGGCAGGAACTTTGTTAGCAGAGGCATTAATAAAGTGGTGGAAATAGGTTCATGGTTGCCAGCAGGAATTAGGAGTATTTGTTTCAGTAGGGGCCCGGAAGACACCTGGCTACAGAGAGAAGCAATATAGCATTTACAACTTGAAAGTAAACTGTCACAGAACGTGCTCTGTATGGTAGATGGTTTTCCAGAAATGCAAGGTTCTCGGAGTGTGCGTTTTGTGACCTGATAAGCTTTCTACCCGTTAAAAGTGATATGAGGGAAGTTAAGAACAAGGGAATTTTCACCCTTTGAAAAAGGCAGAAATGTGGATTGTGTAAATGAATATCTTGGCTACATATGAGGAATATGCAACATTATTCTTAGTGTTCCGATGATGTAACTTTTACCAAAAGAGGATATGACTTTTTGCTCTACATAGCCCTGAGATCTTAGGATGGGGGAAGAGGTGAGTAGCTGTGTGGGGGCTATTGCACAGAAGATGGTGAAACAAACATTTGCTTGCTTCGGTCTGTGTCTCATGAGACCTTGGAGAAACTGAGCTTAGAAGATTGTACAGTCAGAAGCAGAGCCCTCCTTCATTGTTCCCAGGCTAAGTGGTGTAGACTTCTTGGTGGGGGTGATGTGCCCAGATCTCTTGGAAGCATTTTCTACAGTAAGAGTTGTCCTAGATGTGCCCCTCAACTCCCCCGAGACTCAGGAGAGCTGCCTCCCACTCTGAAAGTGTTCCAGGAGCCTGGGCAGCCTTCCCACTGTGAACGAGATCCGAGGCTCCTGGACCTACCCTCTAGCCCGGGGTGGTTTCATTTAGTGGAGCTTGGTTTCTGCCCTACCCTCAGCTAGCATACTTGAGAAAATAGGAAGGGAGGTTTGGTATGGCTGACCTATATATGGCAGAAAGTTTTGCACCAGGGCATTGGAAACTCTGCAGCCAGCAGTGGGAGGTCTCAACCAGTCAAGTTCTTTGTGATCCAGCCCTTGGCTCCTGCCTTAAGAAAGTCATTTGTTGTCTTCTTCCCTCTTTCCACCCCCTTCCCCTCCCCTCCTTTTCTCCTCTTCAACCATAGCCAAACATGTTCCTTTCAAAAGTATGGTCTTCTTAAAAGTGTTTTTAAGAGGCACCTGGGTGGCTCAGTAGGTTAAGTGTCAGACTCTTGATTTTGGCTCAGGTCATGATCCGAGGGTTGTGGGATCGAGCCCCACGTCGGGCTCTGCACTGAGTATGGAGCCTGCTAAAAATTCTGTTTCTCTCTCTGCCCTTCGTCTCCCCTCGCATGCGTGCGTGTGCGCTCGCTCTCTCTCTCTCTCTCTCTCTCTCTCTAAATAAAAAAATAAATGAAAATAAGTATCATCTGTCAGGGACTTTGATTTTCACTGTGTTACTTGGTCTTCACAAACATTCTGTGTGGTAAATATCATTAACCCAATTTTACAGATAAAAGAACTGAGGCTAATTGAGATTTAGTAACTTGCCCTCTTTGGTAATTGAGCACTGGAATTCGGATCAAGGTTTGAGTCCTGGGTTTGAACTCGAGCTCTGTCCTGTCTCCTGGGAGGATCGAGCAAGGTAGTAAGTGTGAGAATATCTTGTGAGCTGGGACTCACAAAATCCCCTAAGGATTCCCTCCCAGAATGGTAAAAATAACTGACCGGGGCTCCAGGTGCATGGGAGAGTACCTTTATGATCCCTCGCCTAGCCTGGAGAGGTTAGGTCAAGCAGGCTTCGGCAGACCCGGGTAGTTTTTATTCTAATACTTTCCCCACCATCCTGAGGTAAAGGGACAGCACAATTGTATCTAAAGAGGCTTTTGTATTTCCTCCTCCTTTCTCACAGTCCCTGTGTCCTCTATTGAATCTGACCTTGATGGCAGCCTATGAGGTAGCCAGCTCCATGCAGCATGGACCATGTGGTGGGAGAAGTGGCTCCCCCACCTGGCCATCGGGAGGCACAGCAGGTTTTCGGGTGCTCAGGGTAGCATCCCTCATCTTGACAGGTCCTGGAGAGGTGGACATTAGTGAGCAGATACGTTGTAGCTCAGTGTGGTGGGCGCTGTAGTTGAGGTATGGACTGCTTTCAGATGAGTTAAAGTCCACAATATAATCTCATGACCTGTCCTTCTCGAAGCTGTCTTATGAGTCGGATAGGCCCTGATCGCATTGCATGATGGCATTTTCTCTCAGGTAAACCAATTTGTAGGCTTGTACATGTGACCCATTGGACCAGGGATTCTTCTAGGAGTTGATCTGATCCCACCAGAAAGGGGAACAAGAAATTCACTACTCTTCCAACATATGACAAAAATATTTCAACACTTAGTCTTGATTTTTTAAAAGGATAAAAAGGAATAAAAGGAAATTATAACAGGCAGCTTTTCCAAAGCCCCGGAGCACTTAATCCTTTGTGAGGAAATAACTGAAAGATTTCTCCGAAAATCACGTCCAAAGAAGCGAATGCCTTCCTGCCATCATCGCTGAATTTAGTTCTGGTCAACTGAGATGTGAAACAGAAGAAGAGTAATAGATCTAGAAAATACTTATATTTTCAGTATTCAACTGAGCAATCAACTGAGATGTGAAACAGAAGAAGAAGAATAGATACATAAAATACTTCACAGTGGGGAAAAAGTCTAGGGACACACACACGCACACACACACACACTGTATTGGCTTAGTCCATGAGGTGACCAAGTGCACAGTTGGTGTGTAAATCCCAGGAATTTGTGAGGTTTGGAGGAAAGTCTACAAATCCTTAGCCTGTAGGAAAAGCTGCTAGTTGGGCAGTTTTCACTAGCGTGGTTAGGTTCGTCTTTGGCTTCCCCCACTCACTCCTGCAGGGGGCAGCAGTGAGGCAACTTGCCCGGCCCGAGGGATGCTGTGAGCAGGTTCCCCTGCGGATCTGTTGGGGGATGGCCTGGAATACGGTGGCTCCTCGCTTCCTCCCTTGGCCCTACGGCTCCAGACCAGAATCACAGCTTTTCAGGAAGAGGAAAGAGCTGTCATTTTCAACATTGGTGACATTATCTTTTCTTTCCATCCCCTCACTTACATCCTCTGGATGGGTTAGCACTGCCAGAAATCAAATACATTTCTAAAGTATTTGGTCCATCCTATGAATTTGAAATATTTACTATTCCTAAACTAAAGTCTGTGCAAATGGAAGATGGTCTCTCCTGAATAATACGGTTTTCTTCATTTTAGAGAAAGTGTATGTTTATTATATTTTCGTGATAAAAATTGTCATGTAAAAAATTTTTAAACAGCATAAATTTATTGAAAGAGAACCCTGCATAACCCCTGCTCTCAGAATTAGCCCTTGTTTATCACTTATATTCTTCTGTATTTTCTTTATGCATATACTATCACATTTTGATGAATTTTCCCTACTGTTTAATATTTGCCAAGTACTGTTCTAAGGGCTTTGTAAGTAATAATTTAATTGTTACAGGAACTCTGTACACAGACACTCTGACATACATTGTATATGACTTACAATCTTGTAAATAAAATCAACCAATCATGGACAACCTTTTTATAGTTTATTCTCTCTTTATAATAGTTGCATAGGACTCCATCACATAAATTCACCTTAATATTCCTAACTACTTTCATTTTGGTTGCTTCCAATTCTTTTTTTTTTTAATTTAAAAAAACTTTTTAATGTTTGTTTATTCTTAGAGCATGGGCAGGGGAGGCGCAGAGAGAGGGAGATACAGAATCAGAAGTAGGCTCCAGGCTCTGAGCTGTCAGCACAGAGCCCGACGCGGGGCTCGAACTCACGAACTGTGAGATCATGACCTGAGCTAAAGTTAGATGCTTACCCGGCTGAGCCACCCCTAATTCTTTGATATTATAAATAGTACTGAAATTAACATCCTCATGTGTTTTTTGCATGTGTATACCATTTCATTTAAGGGTATACACATTTTGCAGGTGTTCTAACGTTGCCAGATTTTACTTCCAAAGGTTATACCTACGTCTGTTCCCATCAGCAACGTGTGAGAGGTCAGTTTCCCTACGCACTTGTTTTCACTCTCTTGGACAAAAAATACTGCCTTTGAAATGAGGCGGGTTACAGTAAGCTGAAATAACAAGATCCTTTGCTAACAACTGGCCCTTTTAACTGCCTCCTTGCAATGAGTTATGACTAGTGACATGGACAGACTTTGGCATGTACAGAAAGCACTTGGGTTTGAGATCAAGCTGTCTGCCAACCAGTGTGGCCTCACTCAAGATGCTTAATTTCTCAGGGCGCCTGGTGGCTCAATCGGTTGGGCATCCGACTTCCGCTCAGGCCATGATCTCACCGTCTGTGGGTTCAAGCCCCTCAGCGGGCTCTGTGCTGACAGCTCGGAGCCTGGAGCCTGATTCGGATTCTATGTCTCCCTCTCTCTCTCTGGCCCTCCCCGCCCGAGCTCTGTCTCTGTCTCAAAAATAAATAAACATTAAAAAAAAATAAAAAAACAATGCTTAATTTCTCTGGTCCTCGGTTTCCCCTTCTGTAAAGTGAGTCTGAGGTCATCCGTCCCTAAGCCACTGTGAGGTATGAATGCTTGTTTTCCCTGGCCCCTTGGCCTTGTCTAATGGGAGCCCTCTAAGTGCTTTCGCATAGGTTCCCTCCCCTGGTCTTCATCCTATGTCATTTTCTCCCTCTTGTTCACTCTCTGCTGTCATGAGTAGAAAAGAAGAGCCAGACAGGGGTGGAGACAGAGTTTTATAGCCTTCAGCACTATGTCTTGTCTGAGTAACACTGGAGCCATTGATTTAGAATCTCTGTAAACTTGTCACTTTATGGTTGGCAAAGTAAGTTATTTATCTGAGTTAATGATTGGGAGAGAGAACTGTGAAGAAGTTGCCCATGGCCTGCCATTAACCAGGAT